TGAGAAAGATTGTGAAAGAAGAGAAAATCGAGTCAATGTGACTCAAAAGAAAGTAAGAAAGAAAGAAAGAAAGAAGAGAAAAGTGAGTCAATGTGACTCAACAGAAAGTAAGAATGAAAGAAAGTGAAAGAACAGAAAACCGAGTCAAGAGACTCAAGAGAAAGAAGAGAAAGCGAGTCAATGTGACTCAACAGAAACCTCCACCGAAAAAGATATTTCTTTTTACATAAGAGCGAGAGTATATATATCTATACATATAAAGCATGATGATTATCTTATTGCGTGACTTGCACGATTTGCATTAAAGTATATTGAGAAGTAAAGCTTTATTGTTGTTTAAGAGTTGGCATGAAAACATGAGCTTATTTGTTAAGTATTAGTTAATTCTTTATCTATTAGCGTGATTGGAAGTAAAGCTTAATTAACTAAAGTTGGCTACCGATTGTCAGTATGAGATTGCTTGTTGAGTTATTTAGTATCTTTTATCTATCAGTTGAGCATGAGTCATATTTGAGCTATGTTTAGAGGTATTTGTTGAAGCATGAGATACGTGTTTGAGTTTAGTACTTGAGAAAGTATATTTATATGATGAATATGTTGTGAGCATATAGAGTTGCATATGAGCATGTTATGATATTGTTGTATAAGTAATTTCAAAAGTATTTGAGATTAAGTGTGCTTGCAAAATGTTTTTCAAAAGTATATCTATAGTACATTACAGGGTTGAGTGGCTTTATACTTAGCTTTCGTGCTAACGGGTTGTTTTCTATTTGCTTGTTTTTATAACCCCTTTCAGGTGGGCCCAGTGTTTGAGAGCGCACGAGATAGATTAGTGCGTAGTTGTAGCGGTAGTTTCTAGATTTAGATTCTACCTAGTTGATTGATGTTAGTTACTTAGATTGATCTTTTGTAGTGTTTGGACATCGGGGTTTGTTCCCCAAGTTTTAAGGTTGTTAATTGATGAAGTTTGACTTTGATTAGTTTACCCTTTTTAGCCTGTGCAGTCACCGCTAGCGGTGACTATGGCGGTAACACCTGTTGGATGGTTTTGGTTGAATTAAGTTATTGAATCTTTCTTTAAATCTTGTTTAACTTATCTTATTAAGTTAAGTATTTGAGATTTAGTTTATAGAAAAGTGGGGTGTTACAGATAGGTTACCTGAAATATGATCTGAGGCACCTGTGTCTAGAATCCAAGTGCTTGTATTACTAGCTTGAGAGAGACACAACAGAGAAGAGGTACCAATGGTGAGAAATGAAGCCATAATATTATTCAAAAGGACAAGAAAATCTACCTCAAGGGATGGTTGACCAACGTTGACTGTTAACCGGAGAAGTTGACCGGTGTTGACTGGTCGTTGATCGGCATTGACCGGCGACAAGAGACCGACGGAGGATCTAAAAGCACTACTAGGTGCATCTCCTCAAGGCAAATCCAATGGAGGCATAGACACCTTGAACGGAGACTTGAGGAGAGAGATCTGACCGGAAAACAATTGCAACTTTCGACGACGGTGGTGGCACGTGCAGCGGTGGACGATGATGGGTTTTTCGGTGAAGACTCGCGACAAGGTACCGAGTACGGCTGTGGTGTTAGTTTCTTTGAACAATGGTCGGAAGTACGTCGGAACGAGATGGGCAGCCTCGTATTGTCGGAAAAAAATTGTGCTTTTAGAAATTTTTAGAAAGAAGATAGCCTAGAAAACTTAGGCTCTGATACCTAATGGTCCCATTCTTAAAAGGACCTAGGGCTTCAACACATTAATATACTTTGAATTACTTATTTAAATACAAACATTGTCATTAAATCTGTCGCGTAATGCGCGTGTAAAACTAGTATAATTATAAACTTTAAATATGAAACTATTAATTCTATCAAATATTTTATATCAAAATTTATACCATTTGAAATATAGGAAGATTAAGCTAAGCGACATATATATGGATTACTCATAATTAAATGTGCCACTACAAATTAATTAAATAAAATTTTATCAAATGATATAAAATTTGATACATACAGATATTACTTTCATAATCACATGTTCTTTTCATAAAAAAAGTTATAATATGGTAGCCAACATAAACTTTCTGAATTGATATATAAAAAAATTTTAAATATAAACAATCCAGCTTGAATAAATTATGTATTCTTTTCCCCACATGTTATGACAACTTAAATGCATGTGTAGAGCATATTGCATTATTATATTCATGTTATGAGATATTCACAATGATTAAGCCATGGCCTTTGTTTTATTATGCTTCATTAACAATTATAAATTTAATTTAGTAACACATCATCCTTCATTTTCAATATTAGTAATGCTACAATACCTCTTACAAAAATTATTATATAATAATTTTCATTAAGTGATATATCATTATTATATTAAGTTTTTATTTGATTCACATGGTTTATTTATTAATTCACAAAAGGATTTGTCAATTTACGAATACTCAGTCAAACTTAAGAAATTCGTTTTTTTTTTTTTTTTTTTTTTTCTCTTTATGGAAGTGAATATTATATTATGTAGTGATTTTAGTAACGTAATTAAATAGTATTTTCCTTTTAATATTTAATTTAATAAAAAATAAATAAGAATATTCTTTTAATGCCAAAATATTAGTATTCTTTTTTTGGGTATACAAGAAAAAAAATTTAAAAAGTTAAAAATTACATAAAACGACAGTATAGCCGTATAGGTAATACCTACAAAATATGTGGTAAAGAGATGTTGAACCTCTGGATACTAATTTGATGTTTGTATTTTTTTTTTTTGGGTATACCCAGGTTTTCACTGTGAGACACAGTGATTAATCCCAATTTAATATTTGTATTATGTATACTATGTTAATTTTATCTTATATTATTTTTTATAAATCAGTATTTTAATAATTTGAATTAATTCCATTTAATCTAATCAATCCATTAAAATTATTGTGAAGTATGAGTATCTCTTCTTGGGATTTTTGGGTTTAGCTTCTTTTTTTTTTTTTTTTTTTTAATGCAAAATTTATTTGACGAGTAAATTACACCGGATGTCCCTTGTCTTTGGTGGTAATTCTAAATTTAGTCCCAGACTATCGTTTTTGTCATTTTACACCCCAGACTATTGTTTTTGGACAATTTTAGTCCTTATGATTTTTTCTATTTTTAGTAAGGGCATTTTTGTCTCTTTATTTTTTTTTGGTTATTTTTCCGGTTTAAACCAGTTTAATTGGTTTAGAACTTTAGGTAACCTCTGATTTTTAGTAACCATATTTTTCAATAAATTTTTATTAAAGTCCTAAAAAGTATATTTAACTAGTTGAAACCGAAAAAATAACTTAAGAAAAGTATGAAGAGATGAAAATTCCCTTACTAAAAAAAAAATAAAAAAATAAAAAAATAAAAAAACTACAAGAAAAACTAAAAGTATCTAAAAAAAGATAATTTAAAATGTAAAATGACAAAAAGCGATAATCTGAGATTAAATTTAAAATTGCACAAAAAAGAAGAGACCTCCGATCGAATTAACTCTTTATTTGACTGCAGAGACTGGTTATTTGCTGGCAAAGTGTTTTGCCGACAAAAATTGTCTGCTTGCAGTCTTTCTAGTTTTCACCGATAGAAACATTCTAATAAATAATTTTTTCTTTTTAAAATACGGTCCCATAAAAAAATTCTAAATTAAATGTATAATTTTTACCGTTGTATATCTAACCATCTAACAAATTTAATTAAAGACAGTACAATATTACTAATTTAGTTTTAAAATGAATAAAAATTCTGTTAGTATAATAACTTGTATTTATTGTGTACTTTATACTTCCCACTAGTTTTTTACGCGCATTGCGCGATTGGGATAATGCCCAATGTTTTTTTTTTTTCTAAATAAAAACATTAAAGTATATTAAGGTAAAATTATATTGGAATTGTTCATGCTTAGATAATTGAATGTTTAATTTGCGTATTTAAATAGGTAATTCTAATTTAACAAATGCAAGATAATATAGTCAAGATTGATTATAATTGTGAATATTATAATTTTATTTGGTATGGTTGAAACCAAATACGAGATATAAGGAAGATCAAATAAAAATTAGGGCATAAAATATTAAATATATACTAATATTGAAGAGCTAACTGCTGATTGCCAAACAAGGACATTGCGAGGTAGTTTCCCACTTCAATTTGATGTGTGATTTGAATACTCTTTTTTGTCAATAAATCCTCCAAGTAGTTAATATGATTGGCTTAATTATATATTTTATTTATTTTTTTAATTTTTTAAAACAATTATTATTATTATTATTATTATTATTATTATTATTATTATTATTATATTTATTATTATGTACACCCTTAGGTCATTTTACATGTTAACCTAAACAGTTAATTTTTTCAAATATCTTTTTTGATTGTCAACTGATTATTGTCAAACACGGACATTGCGAGGTAGTTCTCACTTCAATTTGTTGTGTGATTTGATTATTTGAATACTTCTCCCAAATACTGCCCTTTATAAAGGTTGAATCCCCAACCCCAAGGGCCCCCCCACACTCCGACCCGACAGAGTATTTGGGAGGATGAATACTCTCTTTGTCAACAAATCTCGTAGTTAATATGATTGGCTTTATTAATTATATTTTTTTTAATTTTTTCATGGTATTAATAAAATACTTGGTAAAAAGAAAATATAGCATTATTTTGTATTATAACTTTGATATTTAATTAAAAAATAGTGCACAAAAAAGATAATAGACAATGTAGTGAATATAATCAATTGATGAATTTGAATGTAAAGATAATATAACTAATAAAATTATTTCTCTTAATTAATTTATTGATAATGAATATTTTTTTTAAATAAAGACATTGTAGAGACAATGTAGCGAATATAATCAATTGATGAATTTGAATTTAAAGAAATTTTATATTGAAAAAAATAAAGACAATATAACTAATGAAATTATTTCTCTTAGTTTTTTTTTGAAGGTCAACCAATGGGTTGTATTCATAGATAAGCTGAAATAGCGTCAGGTGGGATAGTATCCCAATACATAACTGTGTCATACTGGAAAGCTGTAGTAGCTAAACTATGTGCTAAAATATTCTGCGATCTAGGTAAGAAGCTAACATGACAATAATTAAAAGTAGATAAATGATTCCTGCATCCATCAATTGCATAGCCAACATACGATCGTGTCAGCAGCTGTGGTGTCGTTAAGTAAGACTGCAGTACCTGGCAATCTGTATAAAGCTCTATATTTTGCTCTCCACGCTCGCGTAGCCAAGAAAGAGCCTCCTTAAAAGCATAGGCCTCCGCCATGAGTGGTGAAAAACAATGTGGCAAAGGTGCGGAGTATGCTGAGATAAATTGACCACCCGGTTCTAGTATTACCACTCCTATCGTTGCTGTGTTGTCCGTGTGTCGATATCCAGCATCGACACAGCACTTGGATGGTGGTGGTTGCGTCGGAGTGTGGTTGGGTCCGGCTCCGTGGGCAGTGGGTTGCGCTAAGGCGCTGGGTGTCGCGGGACTCGGGTCCCCTCTCAGTGCATGGGCCCGACGCCATGCTGTAATTTCGGCCTGGGCCGCGGCGAGCACTCGTCGTGGTCTGGGCAAACATGCATCCCAAACCGCACCATTCCGAGCTCTCCATACATGATAAATAATTGCAGCTGCGTAGGCAATACCATCAGAATCTAGAATATTTAATATTTCACTAAACCATTCATAAAAAATATTTGTCACAATATTTGTAGATGGAAGGTTAGATAGTGCCCAAATGGTCTTTGTATAGTCACACGAAACCAATGTATGCATAATATCTTCATTTGCAACTCCACACATGGCACACACCGGATCAATCTCCACTCTTTTTATAAGCAAGTTTTGGGTAGTAGGAAGAATATCACTCAAAGCCCTCCATAGTAAGGTTTTCCATTTGGGTGGTATTTTCTGTTTCCACAATGTGAGCCATTTTGCAAATCCCACATTTGCAATATTTTCATAGTTCCCCACCATACATCTATACCCATGATTAACCGTGTAATTGCCCTTGGGGTCCCCATGCCAATACCACATGTCATCATAGCTTGGGGAGACTGGTATTTTTAGAATCCTACTCACATCACCGGGCTCAAAAATATCAGTAAGTAAATCATAATCCCAAGTGCCTGTATCTTGGTTAATTAAATTGATTACTCTGGCATTACTCAGTTGGGATGGCATTTCTGTCTGGATCATGGGGTCATCTTCATCTTGCAACCACGGGTGTCCCCACACAAAGGTAGAATCTCCGTTCCCAATTCGTCTTCTCACCCCACTACAAATTAAACTCTTAGCCGTCATAATGCTCCGCCAACAGTGACTTGGATTGTTTCCTAGAATCGCATCAGTAAAAGGTTGGTTAGGATAATATCTGGCCTTATAAACTTTAGAAACCAAAGAGTCTGTATTGGTCAATAGCCTCCAAGCTTGCTTTCCCAATAGTGCCACATTGAAAGCTCTTAGGTCTTTAAAAACCAATCCACCATACTTCTTTGGAATACATAACTTATCCTAGACTTTCCAATGGATTCTCTGGTCCGTCCCTGAGCCCCACCAATATCTATTCATCAACCGCTCAATAGCCATACAGATATTAGTAGGCAAAAAGAAAACACTCATTGAGAAGGTAGGCATAGCCTGAGCCACACTTTTCAATAAGATTTCTTTTCCTGCCTGCGATAATAGTTTCTTGTTCCAAGATCCTATTCTCTGTCTGATCTTGTCCTCTATATAAGCAAATGCGGCTTTCTTATTTCTTCCAATGAATGATGGCAATCCAAGATACTTCCCAAAGTTAGGAGCCTGAACCACACCCAAAACTTGTGCCACATTTTCCTTGACCTCCTCTGTTGTATTCTTACTATAGCATATACTGGATTTATGGTAATTAACAGCTTGCCCAGACAGACTTTCATATAGAGCCAAACATCCTTTAATTTCATTTGCCTCCTGCACAGTTGCTTTAAAAAATAATAAGCTATCATCAGCAAAGAAAAGATGGGAGATAGGCGGAGCACCCCTTGCTACTCTACATCCATGTATTAAACCTCTTCCTTGTGCTTGTTGTAACAACATAGAGAGTCCTTCAGCACAAATTATAAACAGGTACGGAGATAATGGATCCCCCTGTCTTAAACCCCTGGTTGGTATTAGTGAGTCACTCCGTGTCCCATTCACCAGGAAATTATAGGATACCGTCGTAACACACGTCATAATAAGATCAATCCACCTATTATTAAATCCGAGGGCCATCATCATACCTTTCAAAAAAGGCCATTCCATCCGATCATAAGCTTTCGCCATATTTAGTTTTAAGGCACCCCAACCAACCACTCCACACTGTTTCCTGTTCAAATAATGGCCGACCTCCGAGGCAATCAAAATATTATCCGTTATCAACCTGCCTGGTATAAAAACACTCTGGGATTCAGATATAATACTATCCATTAGGGGTTTCATCCTCCGGGTTATCATTTTGGCCATAATTCTATAAACGACATTACTAAGCGCTATTGGTCTCAAATCAGTGACCTGTTCAGGGACATCTTTCTTAGGAATTAATACAACATCGGTATTATTCAAACCAGGTGGCAACGAGCTTGCATTCAGGCAGTTTACAACAAAAGTCGAGATATCACCCCCCACAATATCCCAAAAACTTTGATAAAAACCCGGGTTCATCCCATCCGGCCCTGGTGCCTTATCAAGATACATTTCAAATAGAGCATCTTTCACCTCACCAATCTCAAAGGGCCGCATTAATACCTCATTCTGTGCTTGAGTGACTCGTGGCGTAACATTGTTATAGATCAGATCTCCGCTTATGGGATTATTAGTTGTAAAAATGCGTTTAAAATAATCCAGAACTACACCCACCATATCATCTCCTTCCACCCATTCACCACGACTATTCATAATTTTAATTAAAGTATTCTTATTCCTTCGGTTCGAGGCATACCTGTGATAAAATTTCGTGTTGGCATCCGCATCCTTGAGCCAGTGCTGTTTGGCCCTCTGCTTCCAGTACGCATCCTCCTGCATCTCCACTCGGCATAGGTCCATTTCCAGGCGGTTATACTCATCCAGGGATGCATGATCAGTACATCCCTTGAGTTGATCTTGCCTCCTCCGGAGTTGCTCAATCTTTTCCCCAAACTTATGGTAACGGTCTCCCCCCCATCGGGTTAACCGGTTTCCACAATGTGCAATACAGCCTTGTGCTCCCCTATTCCTTCCTTCCTCCCATGACTCAGCAACTACCGCTCTACATCCCTCATCATAGAGCCATGCCATCTCAAAACGAAACCTTCGGCCCCCACCCCTCCTATTCCCATATTGTCGAATCCCCATGAAAATAACTGAGTGATCTGACCGTCTAGTCCATTGATTTGCAACTGTGACCCCATTTACAATATCCCTCCAGCGGTTAGTGACTAGTACCTTATCTAGTTTTTCCTGAACCCATCCAGGAGTGCCTTTGCCCGTTTGCCATGTGAACTGATTACCACTCATTGGTAACTGTGCCAAACCACACTGATCAATAGTCTCTCCAAAGCCGCGTAAGAGACTGTTCGGGTGTGGATTTCCTCCTCTCTTCTCATACTGATACAGGAGATCATTAAAGTCGCCAATCACAACCCAGGGTAGCTCAGATTGTGTTGCCAACTGTTTCATTAGATCCCATGACTCAGTCCTCCGTGTACGTTCTGGATAGCCGTAGTAACAAGTCATTCTCCAGTTCGGAAAACCACTTATACTCACCTCCACATCAATGTGCGTCTTCGAGTAACCCAGTAATCTTACAGTATTATTCTTCCTCCAAAGCAATGCCAAACCACCACTACGGCCTGTATTATTAACATAAAAAAGACCCTCATAACCAATCTTAACGCGAACTCGTTCTGCATGTATTCGTGCTACTTTCGTTTCCATCAAAAATACAAAATCAGGCTTCTTCTTGGACACCATGTCCACAACTGCATGAACTGTCCGTGGATTGCCCAAGCCACGACAGTTCTAACTCAGAGTACTCATTGTTGTGGGCGGGTCTGGGAACCAGAGCCCGCCTGATGCAAGTTTTTTGAGCTATCTGCCATTTTAATATCCGTATCTGTCAGTTGTCTACTATCCTGCCTGCAACGCTTAGCCAACGCCGTTACCCCCTCCTCCTCCTCCTCCGTTCGGCCTTGTTCCGTTACTACCGGGTTTTCCGGCGCCTCCCTCACGGGTTCCAGGCGGATCGGTGGATCATCGTCGGTTAGTAGCCATGATTCACCGACTAGCCGTGGTCCTCTTGTCTGACCAGCTCGCATCCACACACCATAAGGATATTGTTTAGCAGTCAAAGTCGAGTTTCTAGCTTTCAAGCAGAACTTTTCCGAGTGCCCCAAAAGTCCACAGAAAAAGCAAAAAGTATGTAGTCTCTCGTATTTGAAATTCACCCACCCCCAAGACTTGTCCCGGCGAATCAATTTCATCCTCCTTTTCAGGGGCTTATCCACAGGCATACAAACCCTAACTCGGTAGAAAGCTTTGAGCGGCCCCTTCATCTGTCTTTCATCGATCTTTAAGAATTTCCCCAGAAAATTCACTGTCTGTTCAAGTACCGGTACCGTATTATAACCAACCGGCAGGTTGTACACCTGCACCCATAAATCCACATTATCAAGCACCATATCCTCCGGCAACTGACCATCCTTCACCTCCTTACACAGCAGCGTACAATTCTCAAAGGACCACGGTCCCTCATCCATAACCCTTCGGACATCCGTTATGTGATGGAATACAAATTGAAAAAGATTCGGTTGGAGCTCCGTGATATGCACACCACTTACCGGTTTCCATGCCGAGGCCATAACCTGTCGCATATACTCAACCTTGATCAATCGTTGAGTCAGAAACCGGCCGACCACCACCCAAGAGTCTGCGACCGCTGCTGCACCATTGTCGACCGCCGGCGCCTCAACACCGGCGTCCTCGTCTTCCAACACGATATCTGCCCATCTGCTCGATAGCCCCGCTATCTCAGCCTCAGCCGCTGCCATGTCCGCCATGTAGAAGCCTGCCGAACGTGTGACGGAGAAGCCTGCCGATCGTGTTGCTCGTGCGTGAGCCCCCGTCGGAAACTCTTTGTTAACGAAACCCTAGTTACGGGAGAGAAAGAGAATCCCTAACGTAGAGGGAAAGATTATTTCTCTTAGTTAATTTGTTGATAATGAATAATTTTTTTGAATAACGACATTGTAGACACATAATTCTAAATTAAAGAAATACATATGTATTATTTTTTGTTGGAGCTACTAAATTATTATTTATTTATAATTTAATAAGAGTAAAATATAGTACTAATTATGCCAACTTTGATTAGGATGGGGTTCGAACCTAAGAACTTTCTTACTGAAATCAATGAGTAAATTAACGGTGAACTAACCGAAATTAACGGAAAAGATAATATTTAACGGAAAAGTTAACGGATAATCATATTAATTAAGGATAAATTAGGAAATCTTAAGAAAAAATTAAAATCTGATCAATCTGAGCCATTCATTTGATTAAAAAAATTGACCGCTATTTTTTCTTCCCATTATAGGCCTAACTCTCTTGAGCTCTTATTAGTATAGTAGATAGATATTGTAATTTTAATATAAGAAAAAGAGTTAAATTTACTTTTGATCTAATTGGAAACATATGATTAATCTTGAATTAAAAAAATCATATAAAAAATATGCACCTGAATTCTGAAAAAAAAATATACAGTTGAACACTTTTTAACATACTTTTACCCATAAACTTCATGCCACTTCATATATAAATAAATAAATAAATAAATAAATAAATAAATATATATATATATATATATATATATATATATATATATATATATGAAGTGGAAAGACGCATTTAAAGCTTTAGACTAACGCATCATAAGTTAAAAAAAAAAAAAAAATAGTACACCTTAAGTTTTCAATTGAAGAACTGACACACCACTTAAGCACAGAAACCACATACTTAAGTGTAAAAAGGACGCACATTAAGGTATGGAAAGACGCACTTAAAGCTTTAGACCTACGCACCTTAAGTTCCAACAAAAAATGCACTACCTTGTGTTTTCAACTAAAGAACAGACGCACCTTAAGTATTGAAACAACGCACTTTAAATATTAAATCGACGCACCTTAAGTACAGAAACCACACACTTAAGTGTAAAAAGGACGCACCTTAAGGTATGGAAAGACGCACTTAAAGCTTTAGACCTACGCACCTTAAGTTCCAACCAAAAACGCACTACCTTGTGTTTTCAACTGAAGAATTGACGCACCCTAAGTATTGAAACAATGCACTTTAAATATTAAATCTTCCTTGTCAAGTCCCCACTACCATTGTTCCCATTCAATACAGCGGCTCCATTAGTCTGGGTCAACTGAGTCAGCTGACGTAGGCTCTCCGTCAGGTATGTGGAAGACGAAGCTCCAGGTCCTGAGGAACGAGGAGTCTCTTCTCTAACTCTTTTTCTCGGTGGCATTACGTTAGCCCTTTACACTATTAGAACAGGTCAGCTCAGTTAGTACCTCTAAGAACTAACTACTTCTAACTTCTCTTTTCTCAAGTAAGGCTCACAACAAGTAAGGCACAAAACAAGAAACAAGTAACAACTTTCACAAAACTTTCACTTACACTTTAACTTTCAAAGTCTCAACTATCACTTTCGACTCCCAACTCTTAACTTTCAACTTTAAACTTTTTAGAAGCAAGCAAACAGTACTTTAAACACATTGAAGAAGCATGTAAACAGTTAAGCAAACGTAAGAAACTCAGAATCTCACCGCGTTCCTAACTGAAAAACTTAAGAAACTTCTTAACCTTAGAATTCTCATACTTAACTGCTTAACTTAAAGTCTTTCTCACCTTAAATCTTACAACTTAGAGTTCACCTTCTTAACTTGTCCATCCTAGTACTTCCACTTAGGTCTCCTATGCTCAATTTTAAGGTTCAGCCTTCCTAAATCCCGCGGTTCGCACCGCTCTGATACCAACTTGTAACACCCCACTTTTCTTAATCTAAATTCCCAAATACTTGATTCAAACTAAACTAACCAACGGGTGTTACCGCCACAGCCACCACCCACAGTGACTGCACAGGCTACTAAAGGAAATAAACTAAACAAGTCAACTTCATTAAAAACCTTAAAGCTTGGGGTACAACCCTGGTGTCCAGCACCAACAAAAGATCAAACTAATTCATTAGTCAACAAACAACTAACATCAAACATCAATATCTAGTCATCAACAACCAAACAGAAACTATCTAGAGTCTAACAACTCATCTACGCACTACAACTAAACTCGTGCGCGCTCAACAGTTGGGCCCACCTGAAAGGGGTTATAAAAACAAGTAGAAAAATAAACCCGTTAACAAATTAATGCTAAGTATAAAACCACTCAACCCTGTAAAGTACTATAGAATATACGTTTTGAAAATCATTTGGCAAGCACACATTATTTCAAGTACTTTCACACTTAAACAACCAACTTAGATCATGCTTATAAGCACTTCTATATGCTTGCAACCTAATAAATCGTAAAATCAACACAATAGTCATGCTTTCTCAAGTACTCAACTTAACACAAATTTCATGCTTCAACAATAAATAAAGACATACTAAATAACATAACATCAATCTCATGCTTACACGCTAACAAAAATCAATAACAAACTAAACATCTCAACATACTCTAAATGCAACACATGCAATAAAGTGTAAGGAAAAGCCATAATGCTATAAGTATAGATATATACTCTCACACTAAAAAATGTATACTTTTCGTTAGAGGTTTTTTTTGAGTCACAACGACCCGCTTTTCTCTTCTTTCTCTTTGAGTCACACATACTCACTTTCTCTTCTTTCTCTTTGACTCACACAGACTCACTTTCTCTTCTTTAAACGCGGGCGAGGTAGGAACTTCACCACGTGTGAACGAACCTGTCCAGACTCGGCATCTAGCCGGCCTAACCTCAATCTCGCCCACGGAACCACTCTCTAGGTTCTAAACTCAATCTCTGTGGAATCAGGTATCGTACTTGTCAGTGTGCACACCCCCTAACCAGGATTCCAAGCCCGTCGGGTAGTATCCAACCTAGTAACACAGGAATACGCCTCATTACTTCATATCGGCTCGCAATATCCGTTTCTTTCTCAAACTTTCTTTCTTTCTCTTTTCTTCCAAAAGGACATAGTCCTAATGGGCCTCCGAAAAACCTATTGCCTCACAATAGATAATATATAGATATATCTCATGCAACATCTTACTCATGCCACAAACTCTTCTTATGCAACTCACGCACAAATATTCTCAATCAACTTCTCTTTCTCACAACTTTGGAAATCAAATATCATGCAAACTCTCAATGCAAATAGATAATTATTTTCCAAAATAGATATACATTTTTGAAATATAACTTAGGCTTACATAGAGCCAATGATGCACTTAAACATTGAAATGCACTAAAACAAGCTCTTTACTATAAATCAATCTCAATTCTCATTCACTGTGATCTTATCAAATATGCACTGCTCACGTGGTCAATCTCAAATTCTTAACAAAACTCCTCAACAATTACTAACAAGTACTTAGGCATGCTTCTCAATTCAAAATCAAAGCTCAAAAGCCAAAAATTCATTTACTGGAAATCGACTCTCAGACAACTCGTAGCTGAGCCACAAAGGGCCCGGCCTGAACTGGGATTGGCCAAGCGGAGCTTGGTGACGGGGCTTGAGAAGCCCCATCACTGGGCTCCGCCAGACTACGGATCATGGCAACGGTTCTTGCCTAGAACCGTGGCCTTGATCCGCCCCTCAACGGAGCTGCCCAACGGACCTTGCCAAGGTCCGTTGGCTAGCTCTGTTGGGTGATCTGGTGTACCTTCTATGTGCACCAGACACCTCCAACTTCACCTGTAAAGCAAAACCAGTGCACAACCAACACTTCTAAACCACAATAAATCAATCATAAATCATCTACAACACACCAATAGCTCAACCACAACATCTATCTAGCATTTCTACACATCAAACCACCATCTAACAGTTAACAAAGAACAAAAAATTGATAGTTTGGGAGTCCATGGTTTATACCTTTGCTTGTTCTTCTTCCTCCTCTCTACTCAACTTCCACCACTTACACTTCCTAGACTCCTCAAACAATCACACAAGAGAAGAAACCTCAGAGATTGAAGGCTAAGAGATGAAACCTTAAGGAACGGATGGAAATGAATAGCTATAAATGAAGTTGAAAACTTACTGTAAATGTTTTCTTCCTTCAACGTAGAACACAAAGGTAGAGAGGCAAGGAAAGAGATCAGGAAACAATGGATGAATAGTGCTGAATATATAGGGTGCAAAACCCTAGGTGAGAAGCCAATGATTGGTTGAGGGTGGAATGGTAAATTGACTTGATTTTTAAAAGGTCAGACAAAGGTAGAATCTTATGGTCCACCTTGCATCACAGACCAAAGTCTAAAATGTGGATTTTGGATAACTTGGGGTCAAAAATAGATTTTCTAAAAATGGTTTCTAGTTAAAACACTTGGTTCGGTTTCACAGGTTCCTTTCCGGTTTCACTCAGATTGACTTTTCGGGTCAAAACTTGGTACATAAATGTACCCGGAATTTAGGATTTTCAAAATGCAATAAGTCTTGGTGTTGAATTTATTTAAAATATTTAATTCAAACACCGTTTGCAAAATAAAATTTTGGAAGAGTGAAAATGGCTATTTTGGAATTTTGTAAAATAGAATTTAGAAAAATTATTTTTGGGTTGTCACAAATACGACCGACCACCATCAGGTTACCCGGCCAGAATAAGCTTTGAATATTTTATTACTCTGTTGCACGCAGTATATAATGATGGTCGGACTCCCCGCACTGTTAATGATGATCGATGTTCCCGTCACCAACCAGTTGCAAAATTCAGTCTAATGAATTTAAAGAGTTCGGCATCAGTCATAACTCCATGATGTTTGGAGATTTAATCTTGAAGCACCAGTTAGCCAGCT